CGCGACAGATTGCAATGTTATCGTGCATACGAAAATTGTTGGAGAAAATGTTCCTTTTTCGCCTGGATAAATGAGTTGAGACGAACCGCCTACTCTCAGATACTCAATTTGGTTTCCGAGGGGTAAGGGAACGAACGACTGTCTCGCGTTGATATCCGCAGAAATTGAGTTGGCTTTTGCTGAAAAAGAGCAAATGGTTTCTGTTTTTCTTGGATATAGAGGGGGCTTTTGATTTAGTTTCGATTGAAGTCCTTTCAGGCAAACTCCACGCTTGTGGGCTTTCTCCATTAATCAATAACTTTTCGTACAATTTGCTGTCAATGAACATTGAGCTTTTCTCATGGAAACTCTACATCTTCACGATTTAGCTATATGGGTCTCCCCCAAGGCTCATGTTTTGTATAATTTCTACGTCAGAGAAATTGATAATAGTCTTAGTGACAACTGCACGTTCAGACAACTTGCAGATGACGGCGAAGTGTCTGTCACAGGGTCCAAAGGGGTCGACTGTTTCGTTTCCAGCGCTTCAATCCAGGCTGGACCTCTGTACCTTAGTATCGATGAGGACACACTGGCCAGAAGACGCGACTTGCTGCTGCTTGGACCAGAATTGTTCGACATGATTCTGGCTATTACGTTGATGACCTTCGCCGCCTTCTCGCAAGCATATTCGATGTGGCTGTTAAAGTTTAGCCGGTCATCGATCATCACTCCCAGATACTTCAGCACGCGCTTCGAAACAATGGTGTGCTCTCCAACGGTGATTTCTGCCCGCTGGACTGCTTTGCAGTTACTGATCACTTCTGTTTTGTGGTGGGCTATCTGCAGCTTCGCTCCTTGCATCCAGTTACCAATCGTATATATCGCCTCGGCCGCCAGCATTGCCACTTCTTCCAGCGTCTTACCGGTTACCGTCAAGACGTCCGCAAAGCCAACGAACTCGACTCCTTTGGTCAGCTTGAGCGTCAGCACGCCATTGTAATTCCATTCCACAGCGTGGGACGTAGAATGGAGCCTTGTGGAACTCCCGCCGTGATTCTAAGCGATTTCCGAAAACCCGTCCAGCCTCTCCGACAGTATCCAGCAAGCATATTGGCCTATACGATGCTGGATCTCCCGGCGGTTTTCCGGGCTTCGGTAACAGCACAAGCATGTGTACCTTCCACCTATCAGGGAACTGACCCTCGCCTCGTCCAGACATTTCTGCAGCACCACCCTGAACATGTCCGGGAACGTCTGGATCGCCACCTTCAACGCTACCTTGGGAATTCCATCCGGGCCAGGAGCTTTCTTCGCCTTCAATCCTTTCGCTGCTGCTAGGAGTTCCTCGTTGGAGACTTGTTCAACATTATCTCCATTGTCCTCGCCATATGGTGTAGGTGGCCAGGTCGTTGGGTCATGCTGTGGGAAAAGTCCCTACATGATGACTTTCACCTTGTTGGGACACATTTCAACCGGCATTGTTGGACCTCTGATCTGCACCATCGCGACTCGGTATGCATTGCCCCAGGGGTTGGCATCGGCATCGCGGCAAAGCTCCTTGAAACTGTTTGACTTGCTCAGCTTTATCTTTCGTATAAGTGCAGCTCTGGCCTCTCGGAACACCACCCTGCGCTCTTCTCTGTCTGCTTCCGTTCTTGCTCTCTGAACGCGCCTTCTGGCTAGAAGACAACTAGCACGGAGGGTGCTAATTTCCTTGTTCCACTAGTAAGGTGGACGCCGCCTGTTCGTTGGTTCCAGTTTTCTCGGCATAGTTGTGTCACATGCCCTTGCTAATGATTCGGTCAACTCGTTCGCGCTTAGACCCGGGATGCTGCTGTCTACCCTTAGAGCTTCGATGAAGCCTTCGTCTTCCACTTCCGCTCGCTTACTTTCGTCCTCCGCATTTCCACCGGTGTCCGTTCGCCGATACTGTACCGGATCACCTGATGGTCACTATGGGTGTACTCTTCGCACACTCTCCAGTTCATATTTGCCACTAGCGACGTACTGCATAAAGTGACGTCGATAATGGATTCCTTACTATCTTTGCGGAAGGTGCTTATGGTTCCTAAGTTGGCCAGACTGACGTTCAACTGTGCCAGAGCTTCCAGCAGGCTATACCCTCTTGCGGTGGAACACCTGCTCCCCCAATCCACTGCCCAAGCATTGAAATCTCCTGCGATGACGACTGGTTTCCGTCCAATGAGCTCTCCGGTGAGCCTATCTAGCATCTGGTGGAACTGCTCAATTGTCCATCTTGGGGGGTGCGTAGCAACTACATACATAGATTTCATTGATTTTGGCGATCACGAAACCTTCGTATGAGCCCGCCATCAATTTCAAATCTCCTTCTCCCTCTCCCCATCCATAAAATTGTCATCCATTAACCTTGAGAAGATCGTGAGTATTCGGTTCAATTCCTTTAACTTTATATTCAAGACATTAATAAGGTATAACGCAAATGATAACTTGGCTCTGTACAGTTTAGTCGATTGAGCCTGTACAAATAAAGTAATTTAAAAAAACTATATTAAATGATGTAAAATTGTGATTTATGATATATTAGCTGGTCATTGATTCCGAGTGGTTATCACATGAACAGCCGAAAGATGCGGAACATCCGCAACATTTATTGCTGCGTCAATTTGATAAAAGTAGGTCTTGATTTTTTTTTCTGCAACTATGTGGAGTGAATTAGAATGGTGTTATTATTTGCTGCATTTATATGCGATGTGGGAAAATGGTGTTTACTGATATATTAGCTAGTCATTGCCTCCGAGTGGTGAGGTGTATACATGGACGTGAAGAAGGAGATACCATCCACGCTTCATTTCCTCAATCGGAAGGGAAACATATTCTACGACGGGATCAAGAACAAGTGTTTCTTGTGCACCGCTGCTGACCCAAGCGAAAGGTTTGGATGCAGCCAGAAATGCCAAAACAAAAATAAGACGACGAGCACAGCGGTGGCAGTACGTACGCTGGTGTGTACATCATTGGACAGTAACAAGATGGTGGCGGAAAAAGAGGTGGAGGTATATGCCTCGGAAAACTGTGAACAGAATGCAAGTGATGCCCAGGAGCAGAAATTACAAGTATTCAAAGAACCGAGATGCTTCTACTAGTTTGGTGTGGATGTAGATTGGACGAAGTGTATAAATCAATCAGAACTTGTAGCATTTAAATAAAAATAAATTTAATAGGGTACCGGGATTTAAGATTAGGCCAATGCTCCCTATTTGCCTTTATTACTTAAATTCAGAATTGTAGCAAGCTCTAGGTAAATGGCTCTACAGAAAGGCATAATGTCTTTTCCATAGAATATTAGAGAAAAGTTGTCTCAATTCTGGACTTTAGCGAACGGTCCAAATAAGGAACAATGATTGGCAAAATTGTATATCTATTACAAAACATTTTTTGCAACGAAAAACTCTGTAGACATCAACGACATTTCACTCTTTGGAGAAATCGGAATAAAAGAGCGCGCTACTTATGTATGAAACTTCCGCATACCATACTGCTCCACACTGTATGCTCCTCATTGTTATTGACATTAATTTTCTTTCTGCGACATGTCATGACACACGAAGTTTCATAAATCGTGCACCAAAAAATTGTTTTCATACACAGCCAATAGCCATATCATAAATTGTTGCATGCAAATATGTTCGATTACGATTCAAGAACAAATCGCTTTGACATTGTACCATAAACTTGACCAATTTACAAGCAGCAGTCGTGTAAGCGTAACCGAACACGATCTATGCATGTATCATAAAAAAAGAGAACGAGTAAACCCTTAGGCGGTTAATAACGTTTTATCAATTTCAGTACCCATTACGTGCCCTGCTGCAACTGACAAATTTAAGAGAAAGATTCTTCTCCCGAGAAGTTTGTAATTGATGGACATAATTTGCAGTGTGTGACACCAGCACGCAAAAACTTCATGCAATTCATCCGACTGCTACGAAATAGGAAATTGTTCAAATAAGTTCATAATATGGAACGGTATTTCCGACAATGGAGCATGTTTTGATGAGTTTCAACATGCATGTGATGCAGAAACTGCAACACGAAGTATGCAATCAAAACTTTTGCTATGTAAATTACTTCCCCGTTGCTTCATGCTTCATGCAGGAAGGCAAATCGGAATTAAATGAAGTGCCTAAGGTGGGAGCGTCTCATTGTAGTATAGATGAAGCGTCTCCATGAATTCGTACAATTCAAAGCTTCAAAAAAATGCGCCATAAATTTCCGAAATGACAGCTATCGACTTCTTTCGAATGAAATATCCTTGCCATTGGCAGAGAGTTATACACGAAGGAGGAACATCTTCCGACACAAGGCCCGAACAGTCAAGCCATCGCATGGAAACCGATGAGTGTGTTTGGTCCCCCGCCCCTTCCTTCTAACTCTAACCGATCGGAATAAACAACAGCACTGTCAAGGCACTTCCTGATGGTCGGGGTGTTAAGTCACATCAAATGTTGAGTTATTTATTTTCGATTTAAACTGCATTTCTGCACACATTTAAGCACAATTTGCACCGTTCCCAAATGGGGGGTGGGGGCGGGTGAGGTCCGAAAACTATAGCCAAGGTTATCCTCAGAATCTTTGACAGTTTTGACGCCCTTCACGGAAAATGTGGAGGGTTTTCAAGTTCCTCCTCCCCATGGGTGGTTGATCGGCATGTTGGGGCATAGTTGGCTTAGATCAGTGACGTGTTAAGGGTAATTGGCACAGTGTGGTTCAGTTGATTTAACCCTGAGCATGCCACTGGAACCGATCCGGACTCAAGCGGTTGGATTTGTATCGCGTGATATTCCGCACTCGGTTCTCATCAGAGTGATACAACACGAATAAATCGATATTCATTTTTCACAAATTTCGCTTCAGAACGACAGACGGAACGAACCGAACACCCCCCGGCTGACATTGTTTTCGATTGTTATCCGGTTGGTTTCGCTCCGGAAAAGTGTATTTTACGATGTGTGTTAAGAGCAGCGGTAACGACTTACCGATGTAGGCGTACTTGGATGCGGAAAGACCTCCGTCAGGCCCTTGAGCTCGTCGGAGGCCAAACTCGAGCAGATTGATGTGCCGCCCGGCAACCATGCGATACCGGGCCGCGTTGGTGGCCATCAAGCTGTTGTGAGGGTGAGACAGAAGGTGAACTTGAATTATTTTCCGATCTATTTTGCGACAACGGCGTGTCATTCATACCTAGCGTAATTTACTAAGGTCAACAGGGTCGTTTCCAACAATTGCGCAATAATCAGTGGACCAGCCACTTTGATGAGCGGGACTCTGGAAGAGTAATTAGCACAATTAAATAATTTTACCACGGGAAACGCTTTTTTCCCCGTACCTTGGAAATGCAACCGAACCCTCCTTGATGGCGTACAGTGTGATATCTTTTGCAGTTAGCTGGCCCAAGTATTCGAAAAATTCCTCCTCAATTCCTTGCGGCAGGGCATGCTTCAGGTATTGGATATCTAGCGAATGAAAACAGGTCTAAATTGACAAACTTTAGTCTCCTTTTGATCGTACTTACCCGTTTCCGAATAGTGGAAATTTTCCATAAATTTAAGACATTCCTCCAATCCGGCAAAAATCGTAAACTCGCCGTGGAAGGGGTTCGATCGGAAGAAGAGATCAAACACCGCGTGGTCGTCAATTTTGCCGGACTTCCAATAGGCGTACGCCATCGTAATCTGATAGAGATCTGAAATGGGAGAAAATGGTGTAAATGAAACAAAATGGATTGTGGATTAAAACTTCGTTTATGGTTAAAGCTCTTCGCTTTATTCAGACGATGCCATTAACAAATTTGGTGAGTCTTCCTTTTTTTTCTCCTTGATTTTGTTTTCCGTGCTGAGCACCAATCCTAGCGACGCCAGGGAAGCAGCTCCCACACCTGGACCCTACCTATCGACCCATCAACTCATGAACCGGGGACCAACGGCTTTACTTCCCTTCCGAAGGAAGGCGTGATCAGAGATGTTATGCCTCAGAACATCCCGGCGGCGCCGGCTGGGATTGAACCCAGGCCTGCTGGGGTGAGAGGTAATCACGCTTACCACTACACCACCGGCGCCGCTCTTTCTATACTTACCTGAAGTAAAATGAGCGATTTTGGGGGTGTATGACGAAGAAAGGCTGAAATACAACGGACTAGCGCGGAGCGCTATCTAATGTCTGAAATTTAGAAATCTATAAGCCCCTAAATCTTGAGATTTCTGTTTTTGAAACTGCGATTTTTTTTTAACTTTAGAGATTTTTAGCCAACGGGCTAGTTTATCTCAAGGTGAAATTGCGAAGTGTGATATAAATGAGGACTCTTTAAACAAACCTTCGCTTCTAACAATTTTACGTATTTCCAGTTTGTTTAAATTTTCCGCAAATTGTCAACAACTAAGGATCTTATTTAGCGCAATTTTGATTACAACTTGATTTCAATATGATTTTAAAAGATTTCATAAACAACGCTGGTTTAATAACTCTTATTATTAAAAAGACTGACTGCTGAAGTTCATGAAACTCCCTAAAGTTCGTAGAACTTCCCTGAAGCGTTAAGGTCTTTCCTGAAGCGTTCATAGAAGTTTATATTGCCTGAATTTCATGGGACCTAAGTTCGAAGGACTTTTTTTTTAAGATCTTTGAAATTCATAGGAATTTCTTAAATATCGTAGAAGTACCACGAAGTTCGTAGAAATTCTCAGAAGTTCGTTAGACTTCTTTCAAGTTCGGATAACTTTCTCGAAGATCTGAGGACTTCCCTGAAGTTTGAAGGACTTAACTGAATATATGAGGACCCTAAATTTAGAAGAGCTTCCCTGAAGTTCATAAGGCTTTAAATATCGAAGGGTTTTCCAAAAGTGTGTGGGTCTTTCCTTTATTTCTTGGAAATTCCCTGAAGTTTGGAGAGCTCCCATGAATTGCGCGGGACTACCAGTAGTTCAATCGACTTCTCGGAAGTTCTAGGAACTTTTTTGAGCTTTTAGAACTATGTTAAGTTCAGAGGACTTCCCAAGAGTATTGAAGACTTCTCTGAAGCTCGGAGAAAATCCATAAGTGTCATAGGATTATCCTTAAGTTTTAAGCAATGGCTAAATGTCGAAGAAGTTACATTAAATCTGTAGAAAATTCTGTAAAATTCGTAGTTATTCCCCAAAGATTAAAGGACTTCCCTGAAGTTCGCAAGACTTCTCTGAAATTTGTAGAACTTCTCTGAAGGTTCGGAGAGATCTCCTGACCGTCGTAGGTGATCACAGTAGTTTACAGGATTTTCCTGAAACTTGTAAGGCTTTCCCGAATTTTGTAGAACTTGCATGAAGTTCGAAGGCATTATCTGAAGTTTTTAGAAATAGAACTTTTTTATTGAACATGTTGAACAAGTACTTCAAAGAAGTTACGCATCGGCACTGCTTAAGTCTGCTATCAATTAAGCACAAATCATACATGCAATTGATTCGAGAGAAAAATTAAATTAAAAATAAATACAAAATATATTTACTAAATTCTCAGGGTAAATTTTGTTCATCAATGTTTAGTTGTGTGAAAGATTTAGATTGAACAAAATGGTTAGTTTTGACCTGATTATAAAAAGAAACTTTGACATAGGGGAAAAGTTGGCTTCGGCAATACCTTAACCTATTATCGTCAGCGGGGTAAACAACGTCTTTGAGAGCTCAATTTTGGCATGTGGATACATTGTGTTTCAGAGCAACTATTGGCCAAACTTGAGTGCTCTAGGACTCTAGGACCCCTGACGATAATAAGTTAAGGTATTGCCGAAGCCAACTTTTCCCCTACATAAAATTTAAAACCTATTTGAATTATACAATCAAGATTATTTTCCTGGTGGACTTATGAAATTCCTGGTTTTTTCCCGGTTTTCCTGGTGAAAATAAATTTCCAACTTTTCCCAGGTTTCCTGCTTTTCCTGGTTCACTTGCCACCTTGTGAAACTTAAAATATCTAAATTTATTAGAAGTTCTCTGGAATTTCTTGAAGATATCGCTGCTTGCTAAAAGTTCCAACATTTTTCTTTAATTACACTAGTTTACAAAACAACATAAAAAGTGTGAACTTTAGTGGTTGACCAACGTTTCTAATGCAAAATCCTACGCTGAATTCAATGCCGTGGTCAGAAAAAATTAAAGTAGAGCCATTTTTGAGATATACAAAAATTTTGATTTTTTGAATTTTGGACAAAACTACGATTACTAAAATGTCAATATCTTTGGAACTAGTGCACCAATTTTAAATTTTTTTTTTATGAAAGTGAAGCTAAATAAATTTGATATCGTTCACTAGAATATTATGTCTTAATTAAAAATTTAATTTTGAAGTCATTTAAAAATTTACAGCATTTTTTTTTTATTTTTCCTGCGAATTTTACATAAAAATCTTGTTTTAATCAACATTTTTAATGGGATAAAAAGATTCAAAAATCATTCCATAATTTATTCTTAAAGTCCATTAAAAACTGGAGAAAATGAGCCTTTAATGGATGAAATCGGTTGGAAATTGTCGAAGTTATGAATTTTTTTGTAAAATCATGGAAATTGAATGTTCCAAGATTGGCCGTTGTCCCGCTCCTAGGTTCATGCACCACTTCCAGTAAGCCTTTCTGCGGACGTGTACGCATACGGTGCATTTCACTAACACTACCAGCTGTCACGCAAAATTAAATGGGATATTTTCAACAATATAATTTACGCTAGTGTTTGTGAGACCGCTCGGCGAGAACCTAACGCAACCAACTCAATTTGACAGCTTTCTTTCTTTAACATTGCTTAACGATGTATACGACAAAACGTGAATTCAAGTGTAAAAATGATCCTCAAAAGTTTTGTTACGCGTGTGGCAACTATATATTTACAAAATCGGTCAATTTCACTGCTTCGTTGCAAACTGCATACAGGCTTTATTTTAAAATTGATCCTGGAGACTTTGACGAACCGTGGATTCCAAAAGTATTATGTAGTTCGTGCAAAACGTGCTTGGCTAGGTGGATGTCAGGCGCAAGGTAAATTGATGTTTTGAATAACTTTCATATAAACAATTTATGTACAGCATGGTAGTGCTTTGTTCTTTCCTGATCGACATTATCTTACTTCATCTATTTTTGATAAGTGTTAATGTCTTACTTACTAACTCACTTATTTGTTATCTGTCAGTCGCTATTTGTCCTTTGACATGCCCACCATATGGCGTCGACCGTTTTGTCATGCAACGGATTGTTATTTCTGCTTGACAAAAGTTAAGCAACAAGGACGTCACAAACAGTTGAGTATCCACAAGTGGCTTCTATGACAAAACCTGTTCCACATTCAAGTTCGGTCCCGTATCCTGTTTATCCAAAGCGGAAACGAGCGCCCTCTGTTGAATCGACCGTTACAAAAAGTGAGGAGGAATTCAAGGAGGAATGCGAGGAAGACTTCGAGGTGGAATTGGAAAGAAACCCAAAACTGTTTACACAATCCGAATTTAATGATTTGGTGCGAGATCTCGACTTATCGAAGGAGAAATCCGAATTGCTGGCATCACGCTTGAAAGAACACAACATGCTGAGCAAGGAGGTCAAAATTTCTTGTCACAGGAATCGTCACAAGAAATTTGACAAATATTATTCTACAAAGGCAAGACAAGGCATGTTTTTGCCATGACGTAAACGGCTTGTTTGAAAATTTGGTGAGCCATATGATCCAGCTGAATGGCGTTTATTCATCGATAGCAGCAAGTTGAGCTTGAAAGCCGTTTTACTGCATCAAGGGAATGAGAAACCTTCTATTCCATTAGCTCATGCCGTTAATATGAAGGAAACGTATGAATCAATGGCTCTATTGCTCAATTTGATAAATTACAATCAGCACAATTGGAAAATTTGTTCCGATCTTAAAGTGGTTGCCATGTTGACTGGATTGCAACAGGGATACACAAAATATATGTGTTTTTTGTGTAAATGGGACAGTCGAGCTCGTAAGGAACACTACGTCCGAAAAGATTGGCCAAAACGGGATAATTTCACAATTGGTAAAGACAACGTTAAAAATGATCCTCTTGTGGTAAAAGAACGCATAATACTTCCACCACTACATATAAAACTTGGGCTATTCAAAAATTTCGTCAAAGCGTTGCAAAAAGAAGGGCCGGCATTCCAGTAGGTACTTGAAATCAGTATTTCCAAATTTATCTGACGCAAAGATAAAGGAAGGTGTATTTGTTGGCCCACAAATCAAAAAACTGCTCAATGATTCCGCATTCAGTACAGTTTTGACACCAGATGAGGAAGAAGCGTGGAAATCGTTCCAGTTGTGTTTGTTACATATAATTAATTTCAAATCCTTTTATTTCACTGAACACAGGTGTGAATATGTCTTTGAAGATACATTTCCTACATTCTCACATGGATTTTTTCCCGGAAAATCTTGGTGACGAGAGTGATGAGCACGGCGAACGTTTTCACCAACAAATGAAGATGATGGAACGTCGTTACCAAGGGTTTTGGGATGAAGCAATGATGGGTGACTATTGTTGGTTTCTGATTCGAGAAACAAGTTCAAAACATCGAAGACAAAGTCATTCGATTCTCAATCATTTTTAATAAAACCTAAATAAATTTCTTTTGTATCAACTCGGTTTTAAATCCTGATATGCCTTAATCAAATTGATATGTAGAGAAAAGAATCTCCCATGAAAACTTTAGAAACTCTAAAG